CCCATTGATGAGAGGGAGATTCGAACTCCCGCCCCCGAAGAGACCAGATGAGGAAACAGAACATCCTGAAGATCAACGTTCCTTGACACCTTAGTCTGGCGCCTTAGACCGCTCGGCCATCTCACCATATATATTACATTTCGTGGAGGTCAGACTGTGGACCTTGTACTGGACGCTAGAAACGGTGTTCGGGAGCATCGATCTTGACGTTTGAGTAAGATACTTACCGTCAAAGTAGATTTAGCGGGCCCGAGAGAAAGTATGGTATATTCAATCTGTGATACTAGTGTGAAGATCCCCCAGCGCACTGCCAGTGGACGCGAGTCAGAGTTTGGTCAAAGTTTGGTCAGAGTTCTGTGCGCTCAAGTACGTGAACCAGAGAGAAGAAAAGAGGGCAAATCAAACTACGAGAAACCGCAGCATTATGTGAACGTGCATAGATTGCCTGATCGATTATGATACGAGTGGGGAAGGATAGAAAATGCTGGTTTAAGTTAAGGTTGATCTCGTTCGAGACCGGAAGGATGAAGAAAAATAAATCACGTGTTGTCGGCTTTCGGTCATTGTCGGAGTTCCAACACTGAACAACCTTTGCTCCTCACTTTTTCACGGTACGCCAAACGTTCACAGAAATCATTTAGACCATGTCAACTATACAGACGCTCCACCCTTCCCCTCATCTCAACGGAGCCAATGAATAACTAATTATAACTATTTCTTTGGCTTGGCTTTCGAAGATTCTTGTTACGGGCTTGACTGCTTCGGACCTGCGTACTCGACGACTGACCTGGCTTTGGGCGTGATGGCAAGTTTAACTTGGATGACTCCTTCGTTTTTGTGCTTGAGCCGCTGACATGGGGAATTGACTTAGGCTGGTGACCAGAATGAGGATCCATGATAGCTGGTGCTTCATGCGAACGTCCTGCACCACCAGACTTTGCGGGCCCGAACTTCTTGTTAAACTTCTTGAGGTTCTCCGACTCCTTGGGGAGATATTTTGACATCTCCTTGCGTGGTCCCTTGACGGATTCCATATTCTCTCCATCCTTTGCTCCATCGTCTTTCTTCGCCTGGATTTGCTTCATGTAGTGGTCATGATCTTGAGGACGAGGGGGCTGTCTCTGATTGCTATTCTCAGGCTGAGCTGGTGCACCAGCATGAGAAGGGGATGTAGATCCATCCGAAGACGGTTTCCATCTCTGGCCGGGTGGGAGTACGTATCCGGGTCGTAGATTACTCTCACCCTTGACCTTTCTGTCTTTTGTTGATGCTGTCTTTTTGGGATCAGCTTTCCCTTCTCGGTGACGAAGGGTCATGCTGCCCGATTGAGGTGTGTACCCTGCTTTCTGTGCTTCCTTCCGCTTAGCACCCGACTCGTTCATATTTAGGGATGCATCTTTGGGCGAACTATAGGCGCCAGACCTCTTGGTCTGACTCTTCAGTCGCGCTGGCGCTTCGTGACCACGATGCTGGTCAGGATGAAGCGGAAGCCAACCAGGATTAGGTCGCAATTTAGCTTGCGCATTTGGACCAATGTTATCCATTGTCGATTTCAATGATCCTGTGTAATGACCCTCACGATCTATCGACTCATATATCAGCATTTGTGTAAGTATAATCGATCTTCAACTCACTGGACTCGTGTTTATCTAGATACTCGACCGTGGTTGAAGTTGCGTGATGAGGGTTATGCAACATGGCGGGCATCTTTTCGTCCCGTACTCGTTCGCTGTTCGACATGGGGTTGTTGGGCGCAGAAGGAACATTTCGCAAGGCGTTCGCCCTGTTGAGATCGGGATTGCTAGAAAGAGACATTGGGTTTCGATTATGTGGAAATTGAGCCTGGTTTCGCTGCAAATGCCCCATGTGTTCAGGCAGTTTGTCGTCGCCATAGTATAACGTGGAAACCTGTGTGGTGGGGTCTGTATGAACGTCTGTACGACCTGGAAGGGGCACAGATGGGTCGTTCTCTGGTGTTGGGGTCGGCGGCTTAGGAGGAGATGGACTTGAAGGAGCGCCGACTGCCCGACCCTTGCCTTTTCCCTGATGTGATTTGTCTCCAAGACCGGGAGCAGGGGATGCAGAGATGAGAGTGAGGATGGTGAACGAGAGGATGAGAGGATAGAGATATTTCATTGTCGCAGACAAGAATGTGAGTGGGTTTTGTGTTGCTTGTTACGGGAAGGCTTTGACCAGCAGAGACTTCGTCGGAGAGTACTGGGGAGGTGGTAAAGTCTACCGTAAGTCCTATATATTGCAATTTCTGCATGTAACATTGAATAGGAAGGAATACAGAACCCAAATGACGAGTATCTATCCTCGTCTCCCAAGGATGGAGCATCTTCGTCAAGCAATGACCTTGGACTTTCGTGATCTCGGTACAAATACGAATAGGACAATATTTTTGGAGATCACTGATTAGTACAGCGCTGACTCGTAAGCCTTTAACGTCTATCATTTGTCTCCGAAGTGGCCAACGCTTACTGACCTACGAAAAGTTCCACTTCAAATGTCTCAGGGTTGGGATTTGGGGCTACAGGAAGTTCACTTGTATTGATTCAGGGGTAAAGATGGGTACAGATTGAGGTTTTTGAAAGTATTCGGTGTGGTGACATCCTATATGCAACCAATCTGCATCTGAATACGCGGTGATGACCGAGTGATAGGAAACATAGTAAAATGTCCTCGTATGTACGTCCTGAACAATGAACATCATCATCATGATTAACTCATGCAATCGTACGGAGACAATAGGTCAAAATGTCGAAAGGCAGTACCAATCACGATAATTTGACAGATGAAGAGAGGTTTCGAAACTTTGGACAGCGAATGTTGATTGTTTCTGTATCCAAAGCTCAATTGAAGATACGGTTAACAGTATTGGCATGTGGAGTATCAAACAAAAAGTGGTTGGAGAAAGTCCACAGCCTCTAAAGATCTCAAGTTCTGACCTTGTGAGAAGCAATAACACCATCCTCGTCAGAAACATCTGATATGTGGTACCTGTAAGTGGCTCAGAGTCGTCGAATCCGAGATTTCCTGACATTTAACAGCCAGAATACGTGGTATTCAGCAAAATAGTGGGCGTGTATACAACGTACCACATCAAACATCTATCACGGAAACTTCCCACCACTTCCCTTCCACTGCCCCCAGCCGTATCAGGATCTGGCTCCAAGTTAGAAATGCAATGTTAGTATGTGTTCTTCTCTCATTGGCACATTCGAGATGAGAT